CTAAAAATAGGCATCAGTCTAGATTTGGCCCCCGTGCCAGGCCGAGTTGCCTGGTGATTAGGGAGTGGGTCCTGGGAGGAGCTGGAGGGAGGCAGAAGTGGTCAGATCAGTGTCGTCGAAGGTTCTCTGTGGGCTCGGTGTCCAGGGTTGATCTCAGAGGTCTCATCTGAAGACAGTAGCAGTTTGTGTTGGGAGACTGAGCAGCAGTCTGGGTGGCAGATTATGGGGGCTAAAAGAGGGCAATGCTAACAAGGGTGGGGAAAAAGGAAGGCCTGTTTTGAGACTTGATTTTAGAATCAAAACCAGCAGGACTCCGCGGTGGTTGTGCAGGGCGGAGAGTAAAAGCATGCTGCTCAGAGGCCCCCGTTTAGCAAGAGTGCTGACCAGCAAAGAAGCATAGTGAATCTCAACGCATCGGGAGTCTTGTGGCCATTTATACGATCTTCTTTTTATCTGAATAGTTTCAGTCAATAGTGCTTCACCGCCTCATCAGATTGTTTCCCTGGCAGACATTGTGTTGTTGGGAATGAGTTTGCTTGTTCTTGAATGGATGATCTAAGAGGTTCTCCTATAAGAAATGGTAGCCCAGTGGTTTGTAATGATTACCTAACCATGTTAGGTTCTCCTTTCACATCCAAAGCGATGGCACAATAATCTCCCTCCAGATGGACACAATAAAATCTGCAAAACATGGCATCCATGTAAGGCAGAAACCTGTCAGAGAAGGAAAGTCAAATATATGCCCCTGAAAAGAGTGATAGAAACATGGTAAGACTGCACTCTCAAAGGCGGAAAACTTTTGAGACCTGGGAAAGCGAGTGCCCTGACAGGTCTCATTGTAATTTTAGAAGAGAAACCAGGCTATCTGTACTACCTTAGATGAAATTCAAGTGGTAGAATCTAGGACATGGGTAACAGTCAAAATGCCTCTGTTCTTTGCTTATTCATAAATTCTTCAGTTCCACCCTTTGCCCCAAATCGTAACTACCTTAGCCCTGGTATCACAGTGGATGACGTGTTAGGCTGCTGACTGCAGCGTCAGCTGCTCAAACCTACTAGCTGCTCCATGGGAGCCAAATGAGGTTGTCTGCTCCTGTAAAGATTTACAGCCTAGGAAATCCTGTGTCCAGTCCCTATGAGTCAGAATCTACTCCACAGCAGTGGGTTTGCGGAGTTGTTACTGTTAATCCCCCTTAGCACACAGAGAGGAGAGGAGAAATGTTGTCATCCCAATTGTTAGTAAATGCTGCATTACCATAAAACTGCATAAATCATCAATGCCGCCCTCCCACTTGCCCTGTTCTTGAGGATTCCACTCTGTGACTATTAATGAAGCTTGACTTCATTTTTGGAATAACTTAGTGTAATTTCTCCCTGAGATGAGAAAGGCCAAGCTAAAAAGTGTGTTTGGGAGGAGCTAATACCAAGGGCTCAAGCAGAAAGAAAATGTATGGAAAATGAAGATCGCAACATGTGTGCAAATGTATTTGATCCAGTTGGTATATGGATTGTTTTAAGAGCTGTACGAGCCCCCAATAAAATGATTTATTAATGTTTTAAAGGGTGTTTGGATTGGGGGGTGGGGGTATACATCAGCAAGTCGGCATGAAGGTAGCCCTAGTAAGGATGGAGGGAATTGACTCTAGTTCATGTCTGAGCACATCTGCCTGGGGTCGAGTTCTTCCCCCTTTGGGCATGGCTTCCTCCGGTATGATGATACAGGTCTCTGGGTAGTGCAAACAAAAGATTGTTGGTTCAGATCCATCCAGAGGCAACGCAGAAGAAAGATCTGGTAATCTCCTGAGAACTCAGCCAGTACAACACCTGTGGGGTAGGCACTCTGACACACACGGGGTCGCCGTGAGTCGGGATCAACTCCAGAGCAACTGGCCTTCTTGGAGCCAGCCTGGGTTTCTGTAGCATTTGTCTATTATTTTTTTTCTTTGTAAAAGGGTTTGCAAGACTTAGGAGGTGGAAATCTTTTAGTACCTGGGTCTGAGAGTCTTTGGCTGTTCTCAGTGGTCACCTGGATAAGAAATGTATGAAATCAATACATGAGAAAATAGGTACATGGAAATGTATTTTCAATACATAAAAATTTCATGGACTGACTGAAATGTCCAGTATGGAGAAGGTTGCATTAATGTCGTAAATAAGACAAGTGGCTAGTAAGTGACCAAAGTGGAAGTTCTTGAACCAAAGAAATTCTTTTCTGATGTGTTGCCTCTTCCCCCTCCCTCCCCTGACCCCCCTTCCAATGTAGCATTGAGCTTTGGGCCCAAAGGTATTACTATGCTGAGAGGGATGACTCATCCCTTGCATTTTATACCTTTTCCCACTCCACCCCTCTCTTTGGGCCCTGTCCCTCTAACACTGTGGTTGTGAATGCCTTCAAAGACGCACTGGAATAACAACAATAGCAGTGTATGGAGTCCGTGAGTGTGTTCCTATCAGGCATTATGCCCGGTGTTTCCACCTGCATTCTCTCCTCCGATCTTCTCAACAATGCTGGGAGACGTGCGTCGTTAGCATTCCCAGTTTACAGATGAGGGAGACGGAGACCTAGAGGGATTCAGGTGCTTGCTCAAAGCCATGGGACTAGTACTTGGTGGGTTGGGCTTAACCCCGGAGTGTGCATTATCTATCAATATCTAATGCTGGGCCGCATGGAGACCCAGCTCTGACCTTCCTCCCGGCACCCTCAAGCTTCCTTGCTCTTGGCTTGCTCACCCAGCCACCTGTCACCTTTCGCCAGCCTTGTGGGTAGACACTCACTGAGCTAGACACCAAAGGTCCCCTGATCATCTTGCCATTCTTGGCTATCCCGTGCCCTGCCTCCCTCCCCCAGGTTACCAGGAGTGCTCTGGACACCACCTACTCCCCTCCCACCTGAGCAGAGAAGCCTTGTTGGAGCAGGACACTCCTCTCAGTTGTTCCTCCAGATCATTCTGGAATCAGGGTCCTTGCTGCCCACCGTCATCTCTTTCCTGGGCTATGACAGAGGTCCCTTACCTGCATGTTCAGTCTCCTGCCTCCTCTGATCCAGTCTTCACCAGGGTCAGATACTTCTGTCACACCAATTGGATTTTCGCCCCCTTCTTTAACACCTTTGTTCCCATTGTCCTGAAGGTCGAAAAATCAACCTGTTGGGTTGCTTAGAAAGCCTTGCCACCACTTGTCCGTTGGTTGGTTGTACTGGGCTGGCTTTTGTGTTGCTGTGATGCTGGAAGCTATGTCACTAGTATTTCAGATACCAGCCAGGGTCCCCCACAGTGGACAGGTTTCAGCAAAGCCTGAGAACAAGCTATGAAGAAGGAATCAGCTGAGCTATCCGGCCTTATCTACCTCTCTAGCCTGTCTCTCAATGTGGGCTCCATGACCCTCCCACCTAAATCCAGCTCTTCAGACCCATCTCTGTTCTGAGCAAGGCTGTTTCTTGCCTCTAGGTCTTTTCACAAGCAAATTCCTTAACTGCCTCTGTTGTGCCAAACTTCCCCTCAGGCATAGTGCTTGCCTTTTTACTCACACGTCTTCCCCAATGCTATGTGCACTGCCTGAACCAAACCCACTGCCCCAGTCAATTCAGACTCTTAGGGACCCCACAGGGCAGAATAGAAACGCCCCCTGGGGTCTCCAAACCTGAAACTCTTTCAGTCACTTGCTTTCATCTGAGGAAAGACTGGTAGATCCTAACTGCCAACCTTTTGTTTAGAAGTGGAGAATGTAATCGCTGGCACAGAGTGGGAGCTCAGTAAATATTCATCGTGCAAATAAGTGCAAACCATCTATTCCGTTTTAATTTTTGAGCATGTCTCGGGACCTGCTCCTTTCGCACAGTCATGATCTGTTTTGTGCCAGTAGCACAGAATTGACTTCATCTCCGTTCTCAAGCCTTTTCGCCTTCTCGTCCTCCTCCTCCTTCTAGTCTTCTCTGACCCCTCTCTTTGGGTCCTCCCATTTGCAGATGTATTATTGTTATTACAAATAATTTTAAGTTTCATGGTTTCCAGCTTTAGAGTCATGATTGCCAGCGTAAAGACCCTGGCTTGCTCTGTCCCTGTTGCCCAGGACGGTGCAGGGAGGTGGCTGCCCGTCTCGTAGCTTGCAGTGCCCCTCCTCTAGCGGCCTGTGCCAAGGTGAAACTTTCGGCTGTGTGTGCTGGTGACCTTGAGAAAGATGAGAGTATTGTGTTTGGTGCCCAGGGTCTTAAAGGGGCAGACTTGCTCTTTCTGTTATTTGCTGGTGCAAGCAGGTTGGAGAAAGAAAGGAAGTAATTGGCGACAGACAATGCTTTCAAAGAAAATGTGAAATCAACAGGGATTTCTGAGAGGGGAATTTATTTCCCTGGTTAAAATGATTCATAGTTCAGATGTAGACCTACATTGTCTTAGCAGATCATGTTTCGACTTCTTATTACAAGATATGGATACTTGATAGTTTTAGCATTGGGCTGCTAACTACAAGGTCAGCAGTTCAAACCCTCCAGCTATTCCGGGGGAGAATGGTACGACTGTCTGCTCCTCTAAAGATTTACAGTCTGGGAAACTCTGTGCCCTATTGGATCAAATTCAACTCCCATAGCAGTGGGCTGATCACAATTATGCATGAGGATCAGTGGTAGAATTCCTATCTTCCACTGAGACGTGGGTTGGATTCCTGGCTAAACACATCTCATACCCAGCCAACACCCTTTGTCATTGGAGGTTTGTGTGTGGTTATGATGTTGAACAGGCTTCTGCCGAGCCTCCAGACTAAGACAGACTAGAAAGAAAGGCCAGCTGATCTGCTTTCAAAAATGAGAACCCTGTGAATCACGTGGTTCAGTCCACATTGGGCGTGGAGGAGTGCTAGGTGTGGCGCAGGTCTGAGCAGCATTTTGTCCGCGTTGCAAGGAGTCACCAGGAGTTGGGACAACTTGGCAGTAGCTAACAACATCCTGAATTGCTGAAAAAGTTTCCTTGTTCATAGCAAGTGTTCTTTTGTGTTTTCCCTTCTCCCAGAAGTGACACTGAAGGTCCACATCAGTGACGCCAGCACCCATCAGCCGGTGACGGACGCTCTCATTGAGATTTTCACCAACCAGGTCTCCATTGCCTCTGGCACCTCAGGGACAGATGGTGTGGCCTTCATCAAGTTCCCGTATAAGCTGGGCACTCAGCTGATCGTCACCGCCACGAAGCATGCCTACGTGCCAAATTCCGCCCCGTGGAAGCCCATCCGGTTACCTGGTAAGGCCATCTTGATGTGTCTCTAAAGTGGAACTAATAGTATAGGGTAATGGTGGACTCAGGCACAGACATTATTAGCAATATAAGACAGGCCCTTAGTAAAAATATTGATGTTGAATATCTGTTCTACCATGGGGGGTCCTTAGGGAAGTTGAGATCAAACAATCAACCATGGTGGAGGGTGCCTTGGTATAAGCATACAGGAGAATCCATTGCTTCCGAGTTTCTGCTTATTTCCCCACATCTCTGTCTTCTGCTTTATTGACCAAGGACCCCTGGTGGCTCTTTTGGGTAAGTGTTGGACTGCTAACCACAGAGTTGGCAGTTCAAACCCACCACCCATTCTTCAGGAGAAAGTTGAGTCTCCTTGCTCCTGCAGAGATGGACAGTCTCCAACACCCTGTATAGGATGGCTGTGCATTGGCATAGACTTGGTGGTAGTGGGCTTCGGTTAACTTTAGTGACCACTACTGCAGGATGGGGTGTGGACAGTACTGTAGAAGAGAGCTTCTTCATTCTCCAGGTGCCGGCCTTCTTCCTGGCTGACACACAGGTGGCCGGAGAGCAGAGAGCTCCAAAGAGATGGGGAGTGATGGCAAGATTATTTTGTTCTCTGTTTTCCCTCTTCTTATGCCTCGCTGTTTCAAAGCTGTCTGTCTACATGAGAGGCAAGGATGGCAGCTGATGCCAAGGCAGCAGGAGATCCAGCCCACTGCTTTCCCCTTGCCCCAGGCACCTCCATGCCCAGACCCCTTTCTGGATCAGCACTGACACTCGCTGAGCTACAAGGCTCTTTCTGGGTCGTCATGTAAGAACATTCAACTTTCCTTTTGAATTGCATTTAGAGACCAAGACAGAGGTCCAAGCTAGAGGTTTACATTGGAGGTCATCAACAGTGCTGCAGTGAGAATCAAAACCGTAAGCTCTCCACGAAGAACAGAGAGTGATGGGCCTGGGAGAGAATGCTACAGAGGGCAACACCCAAACCCAACTGATTGCTGTCGGCTTGATTCTGACTCACTGTGACTCTGTGGGACAGAGTGGGACTGCCCCGTCAGGCACCCAAGGCTGCTGCCATCTTTGTGGAAGCAGGCTACCTTCGCGCACCCCAGGCTCCACCAAATAGGGAAAGTGATCTTTATTGGGCTACATGTGAAGAAAATCTTGGGCCAATTCCTTTCCACACTGAGAAGGCAATCTCAACAATGCAGGAGAAGGTTAGGTGGTCCCCAGAAGCCACCCAGCCGCTCCAACTGTCCTAGAAGAACACCGCTCAAAGCACCGAGATGGAGTTACTGGTGACTGTTAACATCATCCCTTGTGTAAAAGCAGCCCTTTCCATAATAACAGTTTTCTTTTAAAAAGTCCAATAATGGGAACAGTATTGTTTAATTGCAAGACTTTGGGCCTCAGAATGAACACACCTGCTGGTCACCAGTTGGCCCATCATGGCTTTGTGAGCCTGGTATTCTTGTTTCAAAAATTCAGCTAATTAGCTTGAATGATGTTCATTGACCCTCCCCTATTGTTCATTACGGCTTGACTCCGTTGGCCTTGTCAGTATATTAAAGATACTTTTAACTAGAATCTAACACATGTTGAACTGGCCAGTTGAAACTTCAGGGTCAACTTGTGTTTCATAAAAAACAAAACAAAACAAGTAATACCCTTGGTTTGGGGGTCACTCTGTTCTATTACTCAAAGATTATCAGGGGAGATTTGAAACCTCCTTGGTTAGGTTCAGGTAGAGTCTTAAAGAGGATCTTGGGGTGCTAGTCTCAAGGGGTCCTCTGCTCTCTACGGTTCCAGTGTATCTGACTTCTTTCTTGTTTAATAAAAATGTCAGGTCTACTCCATGTTCTTCTCCCATTCTCTGTGAGACCAACTACAGCAGTCCTGGTTGGAAGTCAGTGGGGGTAGCTGGGCACCATCCAGTTTGTCTGGTCTCACAGACGATGAGGTTGTGGCTCTGGCAGACTTCCAGCTTCTCTGCGCTTTTGGTTACCTTCTTACTGTTTGGCTCCTGGTGGGTCAAGAGCTGGGGTGTGGCTCAGATGGCTGCTCACAAACTTCTGAGGCTCCAGTCACTGCTCAAACTCCCCATGCAGATAACGATTTGGGGGAATTTTGCCAATTACATGAGACTATGTGATTATGGACATGAGACTGTGGTCCTCAACCTTCAAACCCAGAACACAAGTGTTGGAAGGGGTCTGGTAATAACTGTTGTTCTTATGCATATTTTCAAAGGTCAAAGCTCACACTCTTGGTATTCCAGCTAAGTGGGCAAGGAATCGAGAAGAGCCGAGAGCCTCTTCTAAACAATGTGGGGATTTGACACGAAAGCATGCTTTCTTGCTTTCTTCTTGAAAAGGGAAGATTGTCCTAGTATTATTTTGCAGAGAGCATGCATAGGGAAACATAGCCTCTACATGTGCAATTTAGTGACCCTGGTTACATTCTTGCAGCTGTACAACCATTTGTCTCCTCTCTCATTAACAAACTCATCAGCCCCATCTTTCATGAACTGTAAACTTGACCCCACACAAACTGGGGTTAAAGGGCATTTTTCTTGGGCAGGCAAGCTAACTAACTTTAAGACGACTTCAGGGGATATTTTTTGAATGAAAGAGAAAAAGATGTTCTTATCATTCCAGGTAACTCAGTGTACTTGTTTGATACAACAAAGCATGCTTTCTTGACTGCATGCACAGGAGATTTGGTGGTGCATTTCCCTTTTCATTTTGACACTCGTTTGGAGAGCCCATGTTGAGCTTTTCCCCGATAAAAGAAAGGAGTGGAGATTGAGAGCGGGGTGGGGCGCAGCATAAGAGCACCCTTTCCCTTTCCCAAACTGACAAGAACACATTTCAATCAATAAAATGTAACACAGCTACAGACTCTGGATAACAGTGGTGACTCTTGGCCAGGTCTCCTGCTCACGAGTCTGTCCTTTCTAATGACCTGTGCTGCTAGAAGGAGCCCTGGGGGCGCACTGCTGAAGCACTTGGTAGCTACCTGGAAATTAGAGGTTTGAAGCCTCTCCCTCCCACCCACCTTGCAGCTCCTCGGGAGAAAGACCTGGCTCCCGTGGCCACCTGCTTCTGTGAAGATTACAGCCAGCTCCACCACTCAAGGTCACTGTGCATTGGAATCAATGAACAGCACCTGACAACAATAAACTCCCATCAGTTAATATTCTGCAGAACATAATGGTGTGCTCTGGCCTCAACTGCTTCTGTGATCTCTAAATGAAGCTTCGGTTAAACGTATCACATAACCCCAAGCCCAGACTTACTGCCATTGAGCCGGTTCTGACTCCTATCAGCCCTTTATAGGGTTTCTGAGACCGTCCATCTTTACAGGAGCGGACTGCCGTATCTTCCTCCCATGTAGCAACTGGTGCCAGTGGGAACTACAGTTGGCAGCCCAATGCCCACCCTACAAATTCATGCAACGCTCCTTCACCATAGCACCTAAGACCCTCAGTCTTGCCGCTTCTCCCCTTCGTATCTGATGGTCTAGCCCCAGTGGGCGCTTCATTGCTCTCCACAGGAGTGTGGCTGATTGGCTTACCCTCCTGCACTCTCTGAGCTGCTGCCACCCAGCTCTTGACTTGGAGTCCCAGGGTGATGCAGTCAGTTCACCATTCAGCTGCTCCCCAAAGTCTGTAGGCTTGAGTCCATCCAGAGACACGTCAGAAGAAATGCTTTTACTGTCAACTGCTGAGAAATCAGCCATTGAAAACTCAATGGAG